ATAGCTGGAGTAGAATGCCCTTCGACAGTCAAGTAGCTAGTTGATCCTCGCGAACACTTCCTATTCTGTTGTGGGGGAATATGTGGCTCACATAATACAGATGTTCCAAAGTTAACGTCCTTAACGTAAACTTAACGTAAAGATGGGATCAAATTTTTTTTTACGGGAACTTCCCGTCCCTTAACGTCCCCATCCCTACTTACAATTGATCAAGTCAAATAGACTGTATAAGAAAAATAGTGTCGTAATATTCTGATCCATACAAATGAAGTATAGAACGCACTGATGACCTGGGAAAAGGCTGAGCAAACGTTGAAGTGTTTTGCTCGTACTTAAAAGAAGAAAACCCTCAACCAGTCATCGAAAGTTGCTCCTTAACGCTTTCCGCATTCGCTTGTCTCACTCAATGGCGGTGGCAGCAACGAGTTTTCCGCGAGGCAGAAAGACTAAATCTTTGGGTCAGAAGGTGGCCGCACCGGTTGCTGCTTCGGGCGAGGCGCTGTTTGGCAAACGTGGCTTGACCGCAGCGGCTGAAGAGCAGCCCAAAAAGAAGGCAAAAAATGCTGCTACACAGGCCAAAAGCAACAAGGCCAGTGCAACAGATGAGGTGAAGGACAACAAGGCAATACTTATCACATACAAGAATTTGCACAAGGGAATGCTACTGCTTGGCTGTGTGCGTCAGATCACAGACGGACAGGACCTTATGATCAGCCTGCCCAACAAGTTGAATGGCACAGTGGCTCTAAGCGAGTGCTCTGATGAATTCTACGAGTACCACCGGAAGCATGGGAAGGTAACTTCTCAGCCAAATGACGACAAAGAGCAATTGCAGCCTCTCAGTGCGCTGTTCACAATCGGTCAGTTCGTACCTTGTGTGGTACTTGCCACAGCCAAGGTTGCGAAACACAAGCAAATCCACCTCTCTTTGCGCACTTCGCTAGTTCATGCTGAACTGAGTCCCAGCAGCGTTTCGAAGGGCACCGCACTGCACGCCACAGTCTCATCTGTGGAAGATCACGGCGTTATTGTCAATGTAGGTGTCCGCGGTGTGCACGCTTTCGTACCCCGCAACGAAATCACGACGCTTGTGCACAAAGGCCAGCACTTGTTCGTTTCGGTATTATCAATGAACTCGCACACTAAAACGGCCACTGTGACAGCTCACCGTAGCCACGTTGTCAAAGTTGTGACGCGCGGTGACTCGTATACGCTTAAGCAACTCGTGCCAGGCATGCTACTCAACGTTCGCGTGACAGACATCTTGGAAAACGGACTCAGTGTCACGTTCCTCACGTATTTTACCGCCACTGTTGAGCAGAATCACATGAGTTTTCCCTGTGAGCGTGGCTGGCAGGAGTCCTACCGCAAAGGGATGAAGGCACGTGCGCGTATAATTGGCATCGACTACATCACAAAGAAGATCACGCTGTCGATGGCTCCTCATGTTGTGCACCTGCTAGTACCGGAGTCGCCGTTTTTGGTTGGAGATATTGTCGAAAAAGCCACAATTGAGCGCATTGATGCCGGTATCGGCATGCTGCTTTCGCTAAAAAGCAAGATCGATGACACTAACATGGAGGATACCAGCGAGACTAAAGAATCAACGACAAATATCAGGTGGAAAGCTTTTGCTCCTGGATATGTGCACATCTCCAAGGCTTCCGATAATCGCGTGGACAAGCTTGAAAAGAAATTTTCTGTGGGTTTAGCTATCAAGTGCCGTGTTCTGAGCTTTTGCCCCTTCGATGCGGTTGCAAGCGTGAGCTGTGCAGAACGATCTGTTTCACAAGTAGTATTGCGCCACAAAGACTTGGTTTCGGGTACTAAGGTGAATGGCAAGATCTTGTCTGTTGAGTCGTGGGGATTGCTGATGGAAATTAGCGAAGGCGTCCGTGGTATAGTCACTCCACAGCATATGCCGCCATATCTTCTTAATAAAAAGGCGAATAATGGTAAGTACAAGGTTGGAAAGACTGCGAGTGCCCGAGTGCTACATGTGGATCTCAGTGCCAGCAAGACATTTTTGACGATGAAGGCTGGACTGCTCGCTTCAGAGCTACGCGTCTTGAGCTCGTTTGAAGAGGCTACGATTGGCCAAATCGCGCATGGATTCATCACTAAGATCGGTGAATACGGTGTGATTGTAACGTTTTATAACAATGTCTACGGTTTGGTGCCTCTGGCTGTGCTTCAGCAAGCTGGTATTGTAAATTTAGAGGAAGCTTACGTAGTAGGACAAGTTGTTAAAGCGCGTGTGACACGTTGCGATCCCGTGAGGAAGAGATTGATGCTTTCATTTGACACGACACCGAATAGCTCAGGTAACAAAATAACACTCACCCCGATTGCCGGAGACTTGGTGGGAACGACGATCGCAAACGTGAAGATTACAGATATAGAGGCTACAAGTTGGCGTGTTGAGACGCAGGACGGTATGGTTGGTGTGCTGCCGTTCGTGCAGCTAACGGACTTTCCGCGTGATACCTCTCTAGTGGACAAAATCGTTCAGCATTTTAGCGCTGGTGACGTGATTGCGGAGCCGCTGCTTATCGTGTCTCAGGAACCTGACGGTTCATTAATGCTTTCGAAAAAACCGCTTCTGCTTGAATATGCCTCATGCAAGGCCACGTTACCTCGTACGTTTGAGGACGTTGAGGAAAATACTGTCCTCATTGGCTATGTGACTTCTGTGAATGTGTCAAAGGGTGTATTTGTAAAATTTCTTAACAACCTTGTAGCTCTCGCCCCCAAAGCTTATCTTAAAGATCGATTTGTTGCGCAGGTGGACGACAAAATGTTTGAGATTGGCGAAACCGTGACATGCTTCGTTGAAAAAGTTGACAAAGAGAAAAAACAGTTTGTTGTTGGGTTTCGACCAAGTAACTTTATCACGTCTGTAAAAAGCACGAATAAAGCTCGTCCTGCCTACTTCCAGGCTTATCTCCGCGAGCAAGCCTTTGTGGGAAACATGTTTTCAGTGATCAAAGCCCCATTTAAATTAGGCACGATAGAGTTGGCTGAGTTTATTGGTGTCCGTCCTTATGGTGCTGTATTTGCTTTGGAGAAAACAGATAAGACATTCACAGTGTTGGTACCCTCGGTGACCGAGAAGACAAACAATTGGACCGATGGCGATACTGTGAAGCTCCTGCTGACGGACTATGACCTTAACAAGAACATATACTATGGTGCGACTGACGAAGCGCTGGTTTTGAGTGGATCTAAGAAGCCGCATAGTCAAACTCAGCGCGTTAAGTCTGGAGAGAAAATTGCCGCTAAAGTACTTGCAGTGAGCTGTACAGAAAAATATGCTGTGGTATCTTTCCCCGACTGTAAAAACACTGGTTTGTTGCAGTTTGGCGTAGTGCAGCTATGCGACTTCTGGTGTCCGTCGCAGACAAGCGGTAAAGTTGAAATTGAAGTGGGCGCCACGATCGAGTGCCATGTTGTGCAGTCTTTGTTGACAAGCGGCTTTAACTCGACGCCGTTTGATGGTCTAGTTTTGCTGGCTTTGGAAGAAAAGAACTTGGCAGCAAAGTCGAAGGTTGTATCGCGCAAACTGACATCCAAACTGCCTAAATACACTCAGGAGGATCTAGTGCTTGGTTGTATGTTGACCGGTATGATTACCGGAATCTCAGAGAATTTTATGGACATCCGTGTGGAGACGCACAAGAAAGTTGGAAAGGTGCGCACGATGGTGTCGATCGTTGACGTTGACGAAGTTGAAGTGGATTCCGGCCACGCTCACCCATTTGATAGGTACTCGGTCAACTCCACAATTTCTGGCCGCATAATAGCTGTTAGTGCTAAGGGCGCGAACAAATTGAAACCTGTTGATAAAGATAATCCGGCAAAATTTGTCGCTCTGCAGCTGTCTTTGCGCTCAGAAGACACAGCTGGCGACGAGAAGGTAAACGATGTCCATCGTTTTGTCCGTCCAGACTGGTTAGAAGGCAGTTCCGGTCGTGCGCTTTTGAAGGAAGGCACTCTGGTTGACGGCGTCATCTCAAAGCAGACCGCGGATGGACTGAATGTCAAGCTTAGCGGTAGCGTCACGGGCACCCTCAGCTGTGTTGAGGTGTCAAACGATGTAAACATCTTACGTGCATTTCGGAGCACTTTTCCGGTAGGCAAGCGTGTCAAGTGCTATGTCCTCCAAGTAGAAACTGAGAAGAAATTGGTGGAATTATCACTGATCCATTCGTCATTGACAGAACAAAAAACTTCTTTGAAAATCGGCATCATAGTAAACGGTGTTATTTCGACCAAAAAGTCTACCATCCGTCCGCCGTCGATCATGGTGCAGCTCGGTGCCCATATTTTTGGTCGTGTGTGCATAACTGAACTGTTAAATGATTGGAAAAACAACATGCTGGAATTGCCTCAATTTGCTGCTGGCACCGTTGTCCGCTGTGTTGTGCTTTCAACGCGCAACAATCACATTGATTTATCGCTGCGTGAAGACGCCTTACAGAATCCGATTGAATACGCTAAAAAGACCGAGGAGCCTGCCCAGCACAATGTAGGAGACTTAATACCTGCTATCGTGGCCACAACCACCACAAACGGCTGCTTCGTGCGAGTGGACCGTCACACGACGGCTCGTGTCTTGCTACGCGATCTCAGTGACGATTTTGTCCAAGATCCACAAAGTCAGTTTTTTTCAGGCAAGCTTGTTGCCGGTCGAGTCATTAAGAAGTCTGATCGCGGGCTTGAGCTCAGTTTGAAGGCGTCTGTCGTCTCGGATGACGTGTCGACTTTCAAGTTGAGCGACCTCAAGGAGGGCCTGACGGTAAAGGGCACGATCACAAAGGTACAGTCATACGGTGTGTTTGTTCGCATTGAGAAGACAACCATAAGTGGTTTGTGTCACATTTCACAAGTTGCTGATGAAAAGGTGACACAGCCGCTGGATCAGATCTTCTCGGAGGGCGATTATGTCAAGGCCAAAGTGCTAAATATAGAGGACCGTCGTGTGTCATTCGGTTTGAAACCCTCATACTTTGAAGGGGATGAAAGTAGCTCAGAAGACGAATCAGATGATGATGAGGAGGAGGCTGACAGTGATCTGAAAAACAAAGCTGAGCCAATGGATGTCGACGAGGAGAAAGTTCTCTCTACGAGAAGCGTGAAGAATGCAAGCGATGTAGACACTAAATTTGATGTAAGTGGAGACACTGGCTCTTCGGAAAATGAAGATGCGAGCAGTGTTGCTCCAGTGGAGTTTAGCTGGGATGGGTTTTCGAACGTTTTGAGCGCAAAGAAGGAGTTGAAAGACGAAGAAGACTCATGTGATGAAAAAGAAAAAAATGACGAAGACGCTACAAACCCCAGTAAGTCAAGCAAAACGAAGTGTCAACAGAGTGATGAGTGGGTGAATCTGCGCGAGAAGGCCCTAGCTAGCAATGAAGAAGTTGCTCAGAGCGCAAATGACTTTGAGCGTCTGCTAGCTGTATCTCCACAGAACTCATATTTGTGGATTCAATATATGGCATTTCACGTCGCGCTGACGGAGATTGATCTCGCTCGGGATGTTGCAATTCGTGCTACTTCTGCTGTGTCGTTTCGAGATGAAAAGGAGAAGATGAACGTGTGGGTAGCTTATCTTAATCTAGAGCACGACTTTGGCGACGATGCGAGCTTTCTGCGTGTTTTTAAAAGTGCATTACAGGTAAATCATCCAAAAAGGTTGTACTTGCACCTCGTAGACTTGTATATCCGCGCTGAAGAGCACGAAGATGTGAAGCAGACGCTTGCCACCATGCAAAAAAAGTTTCGGACGAGCAAGCAGGCGTGGATCCGATCACTACAGTACCTGATAGGTTGTTCAAAGTTCATGGAGGCTGCAGAGGTGCTGCAGCACAGTCTAAAGAGTCTGGCTGCTCACAAACACCTGCCAGTAATACTCAAATATGGTCAACTTTTGTACGAGCACAACGAGCTGGACAAGGCACGCACGATTTTTGAGGGTATCCTAGCGAACTATCCTAAGCGCATGGATTTATGGAATGTATATCTGGACAAGGAGATCAAATTTGGCGACCTATCACTGGCACGTGCGTTATTTGAGCGTCTGCTTGCTATGGAATTTTCGGCAAAAAAAATGAAGTCATTGTTCAAGAAATACTTGCTGTTTGAGCAGGAGCAGGGCAACGACATGCAGGTGGAGCATGTAAGGCAGCTGGCGAAGGATTTTGTTGCCAACGCTGCGGTCTAGTAGATGATCACCTCACTAAATTGATGAATAGAGTTTCTTTAGTTTAACTGCGTTTCTATGTCTTCATTTCTTTTTCAGGACGGACATACTTTGGCAGAGTGTGATGCTTTTGATACAATAGGATCCAAGATGTGTTTCTTCATCACCACTGGTGGCAAGACATGAGTTGAGGTTGTAGAAGTAATGTGAAAATTCGACTCACGTTCTGCCTTTTCTTCTCGTGAATTTTGATCTGCTTCAAATTGCTCAGGAGAATGTAAAATTCCATTTTCATGCCCCATTGAAACTTGACAAGATCTTTTGTGCCTATGTTCGTGCTCTTCGGAATGCTTCTGATGCTTTCGGCGATGATGTCGATGATGGTGACGATGTCGATCTTTCGATGAGCCTGTCTGAGTTTCCACGTCTTTAGTCTGAGCTTTTGCTGGTTCAGTATGATCATCATTTAAGTCGTCGCATGTCGACGTCGCCCTGTCAACTTTCAGTAAAGCCAATTGAGCCAAGCGGGCTCGTCGGAGTCTCCATCGCAGAATATATCCTTTGACATACGAGTCGACGAGCATTTGCGCTACTTTTGCTCGATAGATAAAGATCTGTTTGACTCGATCTCTTTGCTGTTCGTAAGGCAGCGATCGAATGCCTAACTGATGAATGCACAAAATTCGCAACAATTCATTAAAATATGGACGTTTGCGTCCATCGAGAGCCGGTCCCCACTGAGCTTGAGCTTGGGTACGTAGCTGTAGAAATGCGATCCGATCGCGGTGAGCATTAACTCGAAGGCCAGGAGGTAGTTCTGATAGAAAACTTGCGAGCTGCCACAGTGGAAAGTATCCAGAATTATTAACGTCGTAGCGCAAAAAAACCTCACGATAAGCCTCAAAATCGAGCAACGAAACGGCACACACATCGCTCTTGAGGTAGCAGCTTCGAAAGTTTTCAAGGATGACGGCAATGAAGAGATTAAGAAAGACAAAAACAACCAAGGTGACGTAAGTGACAAAGAAAAGTGCAGAAGCAGCTATGCTTCCACAATCGGAGTACACAAGACCAGTTGTGACGCTTATTCGCTCTGCACAGAATGGTTTTTGAATCATACAATCGGTCATAGTGAGGTGCCAATCGTCCCCCGACATGATTTGAAAGAGCAATAAAGTCGCTGAGCCAAATGAGCGAAAATTTGAGAATGAATTCATCGCTGGACCGTACCGCACGCCTCCGAAAAGCTGTCGGGCCACGATTGCGAAGATGAAGTATATCATGAACATGAGAAAGAAAATTTGTCCTAGTGGACGAAGTGAAGCGCGAAACGTCTGATATACGGTATACACTCCGCGATTAAGATGCACGAAGCGTAGTACGCGCATCATTCGAAAGACTCGTCCGGCTTGAATAATTGTATGGTAACCCGTTGCAAAAAAATAGGCGACAATAGAGCCACTCAAAATTGCAACTTCAAACATGCCTTGCGGTTGAAAAAAATAATACTGGCGAAGACCAATGCACTTGATTAATCCTTCGAGAGTGAATATCGTCAAAAAGATAATCTCAATGATCTTAAAGGATAAAGAAGTGCCACCTGCTGATCTTGGACTGACCAGTAAAAGCACCAGGTTCAAAACAATTGCAATGGAGATTCCGGTCGAAAAATATGGATGCTTACACAGATCGTATAGCTTCGCTTGCATTTTCATTCGAGGCCGCGGAATGCTCTTTAGCGGCTTAAGCAGCAAAATGAATTTCTCGAGGTCTACCCAAGACTTTTGACTTTCTGTAAGAATTTCTGTGCCATTGTTGCGTTGAAATTGCTCAACAAGCACACCGACAAAGAGGCGGATGACAAAAAGAGATCCAACGTAAATATATAGGACAAAGAAGATTGCTGCTTGAGCAGAGGCATCCATCACTGGCTGCTTACCAACGCCAGCAATGTCCATGGCAGCAAACGCTTTGTCAACCCACTTCAATGAAGTCATTTCAAGTAGTGTAAGAAATCCGGCTCCAATATTATCAAAGCTAAAACGTGCGTTCTGCCACACTCGTGGCGTTAAAACGGCACCACCTGGTACCCCTCGTGCAACGACTTCTTGAAAAGGTAGGACGCCATTTGGATAGGCCAAGTAGAACCCCACACATTCTTCCGCACTTGCCACCTGGCTGTCGTTGCAGAAGTAAAATTGTTCCGAGAAAAGTGACCGACCTACAATCCCAAAGATAATGTAGACAATCAAGCACAAGGCTAACACGTTTCCAACGTGCGGTAAAGAACGAGCTACAGCATTTAAAATGACCTTCATTTCGTGATTGTGATTCAGCATTCGAAGTGGACGCAAAACACGACCAGCTCGAAAGACACTTGAAAGTGTAAATGTTGGGTTAATTGTCGTGATGATCTCGTCAGCTACTGCTAGCAGTAGCAGCGCCAAATCTAGTTGATTCCATTTGTTCTCCATGTATGTTTGGCGATGGACATAGCCCAACATTTCATCGCTGTGAAAAATGGTCAACCGCAGATACTCAATGCCGAATCCAAAAGTACCCACTTTGACAACAAACTCGACAAATAGTACTACAAGAGCGATCCTACTAAAAGCTAATAAAGCAAAATCAAACAATCTACTTGGCGGTGACACGCTCATTTCGGGATACGGCTCATCCAAAACGAGACAAATGCAGCTCACCAAAATCATAAATTGTACAAGACGTGAAAACCAAATGTTCATTGCTACATGTCGACATAGCTTTTTCCATGCAGGGACATGGTGTGGAGTCGATCGATAATTTATTCTTGTCTGATTTAGGGCATGAGTCGATGGGAAACCATCCCGAGGACTCATATGAGATATTCGACTGATAAAATTAGAAGACTCGACATCAGACTGACCCGTATTCTCATCTTTCTTATTATCGTCCAAGCCAAGAAACAGACGCAACTTGACATTGCTAACGTTCTCAAGCTGATCCATCTCGCCAAATGCACGCACGCCCACTTCCTCAATCTTTTCATATATGTCAAGCTCTTTAGGAATGGCAATAATTTGTGCCAATTGAAGCTGATATGCTTCTTCTTCCGAAATTGAGAAATTTTCGAGAATGACAGCAATAAAGAGATTAAGGAGTACGTACTGACCAACAATAAAATTGAGAATGAGGAAAGGGACCATAAGCCAGTGTGGATGGGCAGCATCGACAGCGTCGTACGTGATACTGGACCATTGGTCGCCCGTGATAACCTGCAACAACGTCAAAAACGAGCGCCCAAACGTATCAAAATTCCAACGTGGCACTTCCCCATCCTTTCCGACGAGATGTGATCCACCAAAAAGCTGCATACCAATAATACTATTAACGACTTGAAAGACGAGCATAAACATGACAACATTCATTACTCCACGTGAAGATTTAAGCACCGACTGGATTAACTTTCTAGTGCCCTCATATTTCATCATTAAACGAGTCACACGAAGGGTTCGTAGAGATGATGCACTGTTAAGACCACTAAAACTTGCTTCTAAGTTGTTAAGAATGAGATTGCCTGTCGTGCAAAACACAACTGCCATGTCGAATATTCGCTCAGTGCTACTCAGGTACACGCGCAACCCTCGCATTGCCACGATTCGCATAGTCATTTCAAGGAGAAAAATGACGCCAAAAAAGTACTCGGTTATAGAAAGAATCAAATCAAGCTCAGTGCTCATGTTTGGATACTCGACCAACAAGCAGAGCGTATTCAAAATAATGCAAAGGGTAATGAAATCATCGAACTTTTTGGACAGCACAAAGTGCTGAAACTTGACAAACTGTGGACTAGTGGACTCTGTATTTTTCATCACTAAGGCGTGTGTTGACGTATAAAAGTCAAAATGTGGCGTCAATTCCATAGCTAGCGCCTTTTTTCGAGGAATGAGTGGCGGTGGTGGGCCCATCGCATTTTCAGTGGGCAAATCTCCATTCTTATAGGACTTAGTCAAAGGTCCCATAACTTCTTCCATAAGCACGCCATTCTGGATCAGGTGCATTGTCGTTTCGACCGTGAGATTACGAAGAGATTGCCACTGACGCATCTTTGTCAGTAACTTCACATAATCTTCCTTACAATTCACAGACTTTTTGTAACCATGAGCACTTCCCGAACGATATTTCCATGGTTGTAATGAAGATGTTTCTTCGACTTGATGTACGGTCGGCACAGTCGCCGTCATCCTCTTCTTCGAATTAGAAGCATTTTGCTCAGCAATGGCAGTTTCATCATTAGTATCATCGCTAATAGAAGCACCACTTCGATCTATAGTAGGTAATTCGGTGTCAATCTTGGTACCACTAGCCTCTTCACCACTTATCGTATCCTCAATAACGAGCGTTGCACCCATAATCATATTCACGTGAGTCTCTTCCATTGCTGGGTCGAGTTTGCCCATAAAATGCGGCTTTTCCTTCTCACCCTCGGAATCTAGCGTGAAATTCATAAATGCTGTAGTAATGACAGCCACAAATAGATTAACTACGAGAAACACCATGGAAGCGACAATGGCTATGAAGAAGAGCACACTTAAAAATGATGATGACTCGATCACTGGTTTCATTATATCTGTCACCCAACCATCTTGTGCCACGACAAGAAATACTAAAAAGAGGGACGATAACCCACTATCGAAGTTAACATGACTCGATGGCGGGATCATCGCTTGACACGTCTGATGGTTTGAGGCACAGCTCGAGTTTGCAGAGCAATAAGCTCGAGGAATAGTCGCTAGCGCTTCCATCACCATTGTTCTTGATGCTGAAGACGCCAAGGATGTTGAGTTATCACATTCTTTTGGTAGCGAGATCGCGCATTGATTGTCATAGGATCCGCTATACGCTTCAAGGCCAAAAATTGAAAAGGCAAGCAATCCAAACATTGCTAATGTTCCGACATTAGCTAGAAATGGCACCGCACGCATCAATGCCTTTAAAATACGTCGCAATCCAGAATGAAGCGTCAAGCTGCGTACGGTCTTCAGTCCACGGAGCACTTTCCACTGATTACTTGCACCATTGCAATGAGAAACAAGACTTAATATAAGTAAAAACAATTGAAGAAATCGATAGTAAGAGCGTTGAAAGTAGGCGTCTTTATGACCCCAGAGTCCAAACGCCACCACTTTTAAAACCACTTCCATTAATAACAGAACCGTGAAGGCGATATCTAGCTGCGCTAATGCTGGTCCCGTGACGTACTCGTTATCAAAAGCCAGCACAAGCACATCCGCTACTACGACAAAATACAAAATTCCTCGAAACCATTGATCTTTGACGATAGCTCTAAGTTTTTGACGGCCCTCGACAATCCAACGCAGCGACGGATTTCGCGCTGTCTTGACGATTACATTCATTCTTTGTTCATCATGGAGATTTTTTTTTTCGTCTTCAGTAGCCATACTCGATGACATAGATCCAGTGCCTTGAGATTTACCATCTCGTCGTGCCGCACCAAAGTATTTCGAGTTAAAGCGTTGCAATCCCTCCAATCTCTTGATGTCTGCTTGTGATAACACTGCTTCGGGACCTGCAGGATTTGACAGGAGCATCGACGCACGACGTACCATCTTCAAGTTCTCGACTGATAGCTCGATAGATCTACGCGGTGCATTGGACGACGACTCACTAATTGAGAACCGTCGACGTTGCTCTAACGTCCACGCCAAGTCGTCGTCTTCATTTGTACTGGTTGCCATCAAATCGATCGGCAAGTCAAGCCCTTTCAAACTCGCGAGTTTCACGGTCCATACAGCTTATCTTGAGCTCGCCAGGCACTACCTAGACCTGAGAAGATAATGTAATCACCTGATTTGAATTCCGACAACGCTAAGGTTACTACTGCTTTTCGGCTTGAAATAGGTATTGTCATATCAGTTTCAACACCTTTTATGTAGACCACATACGATTGTTATATATATTGATGCACTAGTACAAATAAGAATTTGACGTAATTTGAAAAGATGAACCTAAGATGACGGACTATTTTATTAGCAACAGCCAGCCTTCTCACTCACTCACTCACTCACAGACTCACTCACTCACAGACTCACAGACTCACTCACTCGCCTCACAGACTCACTCACTCGCAGACTCACAGACTCACTCACTCGCAGACTCACAGACTCACGTAAGGCTTGGCCAACAATGAGAGAGTCCAACGTCGTAAGAAGAAAAGTACAAATGATCCTCAGTGAGGTTCACATCTTGGTGAGAGGATGTTACGGGCTTTCCGTACCGTATAATAGTGTATGTACACATCTCACAGCTCATAAGTACCATAGAAGGAAGTGTCCATGAGCATGGGCATGTAAGTTTTTATCTTGAAAAAAGTCAATTTTTATATATATCACTCGTAGAATAAAAGGGTGTCTAGATATTTAAGAGATTCTACTGGGTGGAGCGTACAAACTTCTTCAGTGTATGTTATCAACACAGATTTTTTCAAAACTTCCTCTGTGCAAGGTACTCCACAACGTTGCAGGACCCAGTTTACGATGTCTCCAATTCGAACAAGCACTTGTGCTCAACAACTTGCAGACAATAAGTTACTACATTACTTCAACGCTATTGTATCACTATGATTGACTTTTCTTATAATAATTAAAGTATCAGTTTAATCTGTGTAAACCACCTTTCGTAAATTTTGCTTTATCATTATTATACACCGTTTTCAGTGAAAATACAAACTAACTCATTTTGTTAGACGAATATGTATGATTTTTCTGCGTCTCGAGAATCGATGGACGTAGACGGAATTCGCCAGCATCGCTTGAAAAAGCGTAAAATCCATTTGCGTAGTGTCGGTTCTTTTTTTCCGTCAGTAAAATAGGAGTGAGACCGTTTCATGTATTCAAGTACAGCCTTTACATCTGTGCCTGCAATAAACCCTTCATTTAGTCATTAAAATCACAGAACCCACAAGCTTTTTCAGAAACAAGAACCTTGGCCTTGTTGATGGCGCTCGCTAACCCACGAGAGTAATTCATTTTCAAAAGCGCAGCTACTGCGCCGTCCTCCTCCAGCTAAGCGAAAGCGTTTTTTCTCAGACGTAATGAGTTTGTCGCGAATACTTTTCCAATAATGCAAACAATTCGAACTCTTCAGTCCCAATTCTTCCGTTACTTGAGCCACACTTTTGCCTTCCTCAAGCATCGTGATAGCGTGTAACTTAAACTCGTTCGAAAAAAGCATGTAACGTCCTGAACATGAACGACGCTTGCCTGTGTGATGGTTTGCTAGCGATGCGTCTACCCGTGTCTCTGGATTCACAACTTTATCGTCTAAAGACTTAGGTTGGGGCAACAGCTGTGGCGTTACCATTTCTTCCGATGGCAGCGTTGCTGCATTATCGTGCGTCTCAACATCAGAAATGACGATTTGGTGTGATGGCCCAGCCGGCGGCATTGTAGCGAGAAATGGCTGCGATGGAATGTGTTTTTTTATAAATCTGGATGTCCAAACCTTAAGCGCTGCTGTGGTCTTGGCGGCGGCAAAGATCGGGTACCTTTCCACTACGTAATCAATAATGTCCTGCTTTGTAAGCTGCATATTTCTGTGACTAAGTACCCACTGTAAAAGTCCATCAACGTCCTGAAAGGAATTTCGGCTTCTGCTGCTTCCAGTTTCGCCGGCGACACATTCGTCTGTTCGCTGCTCGTTTTGCTCGTTTAGCTCTTGACGTCCGTTTTCATGCCTCCAAAACAGAAGTGTGAGCGTGCTCTTAAGACCAAACTTCTCAGCTATAACAGCCAAGTCTCCTGATTTTTCAAGTTGAAGCAAGGCTCGTTGCGCCATGTCGGTCATCTTAACGTTAGACGCAGCCTCGTGTTGTGCTAAAAAGAGCGAGAGCCACGCGAATAGAAGCGGGAGATCGTCTAAGAGCTCGGGGTGGCGCGTTTCGAAGAAAAAAAGTGCGTCGTCGATTGGAACCACTGTAGTCGAATGCTGCAGCCATAACAAAAGCTCAGACGCATAACGCTCGAGATAGAGAGCAGTAGTGGAAACGTTCATGACATCATTCTGAGACGATGATGGCAGGTCTGTGGCTGCAAAAATTGCAAGCGATGGGCTGGCTCCATTGTCTTGTAAGCGATCGGTGATTGGACTACAGGTGAGGGAAGAACCAGAAGAATTGGAGAGCCCATCGCAGGACGACATGGGTGGATGCGATTTTATACAATCGATTAGCTAGTAACAATAACTTTATTACAAAGAGTATGCTGAAAACTGTAATTATTCGATCTTGAAACGACGTCATCAAAAGGGTTTTGTTGTAGCAATGGCGGATGAAGTCGGCGGCGACAAGACAATTGAGCAAGCAACTCGCGATGTAAAGCTGTCACGTTTATAAATCAACAATTTTAATCACTAGGCTTATACTCTTATCTCATGTTATAAAGGATGTGAGTGTGACAATCATGGGCAACGTATTGGAAAAGCTGCGTGTGCTGCAGTACGAGCGAGACTTAGTCAAAAAGAAAAGTTTAACGCCTTATAATGAGGTGCAATTTGCTTTCATGAACGCCGGTGTCAATGCTAGTGCACAATTTAAGAGTTTTCTAGATCTTGTGACGTTTCTGCTCAAGAGCTGTGGCCAAGACCTTGTCGTAGACAAGTACGATGACCCCAATACGAGCGTCAACAAGCTCATTTTGACGCTGAAGACTCTCGGCTTTTCACTCGACTTTCCTGCTTCAAAGCTCAAGCTCGGCTACGGCGAAGCTGTTTGCGCGGCGCTCGACTTCATCTGTGACCAAGCGCTAGCTGCACAACATTTTGACTGGCCGCGTCCGCAGTATCCAAAGGAGGACTTCGCTGACGAAGCTGAGGTGGACGACGACGCCGAGGTGGACACAGCAAACGATGACGATGAGACCTTGTTGCCCGGCCGTGAAGAAGAAACTGAAGAATTGTTTAGCGACCTTGTAGGAAGTGGTAAAGTTGCCGAGGACCGGCATGGTCTCGACCATAGCTTTCAGCAGATGATCATAAGCGACGTGAATCCGCTGCTTTGGAAGATGGAGTTGGAGCGAGTAGGACCAAGACTTAAGGTTAAAGGTGGAGCTGCTGCTTCGGGTAAAGAATGGCACACACACATTGAGCGTTCGAGAGACCATGAAACAATCATGAACGAGCTTTTACCACGTGCAACTACCCAACTTCGCCTACTTGGTGCGCAGCTAACTGACGCGGTCGGGCGAATGGGGGCAAAGGAAAAGATGCTCAACAGCCAGTATGATCATCTAAAACAAGAGTTTGCATTCCTTAAGGAGAAGCTACAAGCCGCGACAGAGATCAGCAAAGCTGCAGCAGACCGTGTGAACGTCATGGCGGCCGAGTACGCCGAGACAACCGAATTGCTGAAGGAAACAAAGGGTGTGATGGACGAGCGCGGCGCCAAGATGACGGATACGTCGCCGCTCGTGTATATCAAGGGCGCGCTTAAAACACTAGCTGCCGAGATCAAGAATTTTGACCTTCGGATCGGTATCGTAAGCCATACTCTTCTACAGGCAAAGAGTCGTCAGATCACACGACGACGGGGAGGCGCTGGAGCATCTGCAGACGATCAAAGCTACCAAGACCCAGAATATGACTTGAGCGACGAGGATTCGAGTTAGTTTTGATTTTAATGAAACGACTCATTAATTCATAGTGTTCCCTTCGTCCAGAGATTAGCTCTATGACTTCAAAGCTCTGAAAAGGAGTGGATTGTGGGAAAGCGATGAGTCTCTGGAAGTGGCTTGTTGCCCGGACGCACAGAGAGAACAGTGTCAAGTCCGGCAACTTCCGCCGCTTGGGCCTCTTCAATCACGTCTGTAACGAATAGTACATCCTTACTGCTGTCTACATTGAGACTTTGAACAATTTCCTTGTAGCTGTCAGACTCGCGCTTGTGGCCAACCTTTGTGTCAAAGTACGCCGTCAAGTATATACGCAAATCTCCCTTATCTGAATACTGGAATAGTAACTTCTGCGCCTGGCGCGAGCCAGAAGAGTATATACAAACATGCACTCCGTGGGCGCAGAGGCGATGCAAGCACTGTGGTACGTCGTCGTATACCAATGCCTTGAGCTCTCCACTTTCATAGCCCTGAAGCCACATGTGGCCCTGCAGTTGCTTTAAGGGACCGATCTTGCGATCAGCGTTAACGTTCCATTTCACATATGTCGTAAGAGCCTGAATGAGCTGCTCCTTATCGGCATTTCCCTGGAGAGCAGGTGGGTTAAGTCCATCAACTTGATCTTGCTCATACTGTTTCAGCAAAGCCGCTACGTCTGCTTTCGTTTCAGGCGATTCCCATGTTTTGTCAAAAAATCGAGCAGCATTATCCACAACGTATGGAAATAAAACGTCGTGTACGAAAGTGATTGGCGTCGTAGTTCCTTCAATGTCTAACAACACAACCTTGTACTTCAGCGCCATACTGAGTTCTCCATCATTTGTCCTGCCTGCACCAGCAAGCTTCAATATAGACTGTCTATTGCTAAAGGGAGGTGGCACAGAAATATTTGTAAAATCAAGGCCGAGCTTACGCATCTCAATTGCTATCTCAAAAAGATAGTGCAGACACTCGGCATGACGCTTAGCAGCTTCCCACGAGGCTCCCCAAACAAAAAGACCGTGATGACGGACTAGAACGGCGAACGTGTTGGGATATGCCTTCAAAATTTGTGCAATTGGCTCTGCAAGTTCTGATTCTTTGGGCGCGTTGTCGATCACAGGAACGACCAATGTATCCGCGTATCCGTGGCCTTGAATACCCTTGATCATCTCCTGGTGTGAAATGCGGAACTCGTTCGAGCTATCACAAAGTGCGGCTGCCAAGTTACACTTGATGCTGTGGCTGTGTAGCACCACAGCAGCCTTGCGCATCTTGTGAGCAGTCAAAAATAGCGGTGCGCAGTCTGAAAGCGACAAAGCCTTTTCGCCAAACTTTGCTTCAGGAATCGAAAGTACATTTCCTTCCAAATCTAGTGTATACAGATCTTCAGGCTGTAAACGCTCTTTGGGAACACCCGATGGAGTCACGAAGACGCGCTCACCAAAGCGCAGGCTCATGGCACCACCCGTGCCCGTCATCCATTCCGTGGTATAGTACAGACGGCACAGCTCACAAACAAGCTTACGATGCTCATTAGCGTCTACAAGCATCGAGTGAGTAGCCGCGTCCCGCGTGATCGTGTAACGAGTCGTTAAGGTGCTTGGATCGTTGCTCTCTTTTAACAGCTGCACGGTTGTACCCACAACCGGCACAAATCGACGAAACATGCACGCTGCTAAAGTGACTTTCATTCCTTCCTTTAAAATGCAGCGGATCCAGCAATCGGCCGAGTCGCGTACGTGCAAGAAAACGTAGCTTTTAAGGACGAGGTAGACGATGTCAGTGGTGCTTGTGTGCTCGCTTTGCAATATCTCGTCAGCATTCACTTCGATTATGTCGTCACGCTGACAATCAATAGAAGCGAGTGAGTAGTCGACGACGACTACACCAATTCGACGAAGAATAGCTAGACTTGCGCGGTTGGATGTGCTGTCGAGGTAAGTTGGCTGCAAAGAGAAATCGAGGTGTGATACCTGCGTTGCATGTTACCATAAACATTGAAGCCGATAGACATAATATTAGATTGAAATAGATTACTACAACATCGACATGGACTGCGAAAGAAAGAGCGCACCATTATGACTGCCGTATGTCAGAACCAGCGATTGGGTTGTCCAATAAGTAAGCAATTGGAAAGTAGTACAGTACAAATTCATATTAATTTCTTACGTTATCCACTTCACATCGTCTTACTCTGTAGGTACTGCATTCGACTGTTGTTCATCAGCTGCGCCACCATGCAGCGGTACGGGCCACTTATAACCGCCAGTAGGAGGCACTAATGGCGTGCGAGGCGTCTGTGCAGGTTCACTCATATTGTCCACGTCACTGTTTGGATTTTTACGCAAATATTTACGCGCTCGCCATACGCGGCAGTGCGACTTCCAGCGAATTTTTACGGCGTCTTCAGTTCGACCAGGCAACATCGCTGCAATGACCGACCATCGGTTGCCAAGACGCGCTTGCGCCTCCAAAATTAGTCGGTCTTCCTCAGGAGTATATGCCCCTCGCACGATCTGTGGGTCCAAGTGGTTATGCCACCGTTCGCGACACTGTTTTGACGTGCGGCCCGGGATCTTAGAAGCCACCTCACCCCAATTCTTCTGTTCAGTTGCTACAAGACGCCTCAACAATTCATCCTCGTGTGGAGACCAGTGACCCTTTACGAGACCTGGCGCCAAAACCTTGGTCCATCGTTGCAAACATTGCGTGTGATTCCGTCCAGGCACTTGAGCAGCAATAGCTTTCCAATTTTTCTCGCGATGGTTTTCCACAGCAGTACGTAATGCATCATCCTCATCTTTTGTCCATCGACGGGGAGTGGCTTTGCGCGTGGCAGGTGTGCTGGGCATACCAGGTACGGAGATTGGGCCCAACGGCACCAGACCCGACGTATCTGCTGCAGCCGCTGCCGTGCATGCCGCCGCACGAGCAGCGGCAACTTCAGCATCACATCTCACACTGAGTTGCTTCGACGTGATACTTTTTCGCTTAACAGGAGATGCCGAAGTCGGTCGATTCGTTCGAGTGGCTCCAGACTTCATGGCATTATTAGCGGTCGACAATGTTGGAAAGGATGGGTAGTACACTGGAGTAAGGGATGCTGGGGATGTATCTGGTCGAATTGTAGTAACGCAGGACGGATTCCGTTGATCCGTGACAATCAAAGGGTTCTGGTATCCCAATCCATGCATCACTTGCATTGAACGCTCTGCTTGCTCCGTCCCACTAGATGGAGATGCTAGTGGCGCCAGTAATCTGCGTGAGAAAAGACTCGGTAATGACGACGGAGTGCGAGGTGACCGCACCGATCCTGGAGTAAATAGATCTGGAGGATGGAAGTGTGGACTGTTGAGTTGCGGTTGTGGCGCTGTAATTGTCAGTGGTGACTCCAGCACGAAGGACGGAAATGACGGTTGAGGGGCCTGTGGAGATGTTTTGGGCGCAGCCGGTGGTCGTGCGGACGCCGTCGGCGTCGTTGATGCTACCGCACTTGAAGTTGTGGAGCGAAGTCCAGTCAGCGCCTGTGCCGCTTCAGCCTCGTGAATGCTGGAATCCTTTCCTTTCTGTGCCGGTGTTGCTGTATCCTCAAAATCTTGTGCTGAGTTTTGTGTCTGAGCTTTCTGGTGAACAGACACGGCCACAACTGGCGTGGCATCTGCTGTTGTAGGCGTCGAGGCCTGTAGCAAGATCTGGGCGGCCTGTTGCAGTGTTGTGAATAGCATCGTCACATCTCTTGACTGCGACGTATTTTGCAGCTTGCCGATCGCTTGCGCAACGCCATGAGCATCCCTTCGATCCAAAGCCGCTAATAAGCCAGCCGCCGATATGTACTGAAGCTGCATGTTCTCAAGCCATGCACTCGTGGAACCTCCCAGTGCCGCTTCATCCAGCACGCGTTGTACCAGCATATGTGCTACTTCAAACGGGAGCGCTGCAAAGCATAGAGTGGTCAATCAAAACACAATAAAGATCATCAACAGGATGTAGAAAAGCGTACCCATCTGAGACGTCGCTTGCTCGTTAACTTGATCATGCGACTCGCGAACGTGAGTTAGCAAATGATCCAGAGTTGACGCACCAAAACCACAGAGTGAGCATTGTGATGGCGACCCACAGGCATCGCGAGCGGTAGTGGAGGAGCGGAAAGCAGAAGGCGCTTCAATGCTGACTTTGCGCTTCTTAAATCCTCGAGGCTGTTCAGCAGCATCCGTCACGGCAACGGTCGGCAATTGGGGCTGCGCCGATGCCATTAGCTTAATCTGCGTCGTTCTCGTTTTTCAGTGAAGGCAACTGGAGCTCAAGGAGCCGGTAGCTCCTCTGGTCTGACTTCTCGCGAGAATCTCGTACTGAAATTTCCTGAGAAGCTCACTTTTTGCAGCCACTGATTCCATTTTTTTGCTCCAATAGACCAACCCTTCAAAATAAAGTATAGTAAGATCAAGTGATAGAAAAAAATTAATAGGAGCTGCGATCTGCCCCCGAAATTGGTATGCGACGCTGGGAAGGTGCAACGGCTACAAAGCTAAAAAGGAGTTGGTTATGGGACTACGAATTGCCGTCAAGTTATTGAGATCATGGAGCGATGAAAGCATAATAACTTTTTACCATATACATTAGGCTTCGCCAGCCATAAAAGTCGTACAGTAAAGTATCCGAGCCAGTATCTGACTATACAGTTCGAACCTGATTTGAGCAAAGCAAAAAGACAAGTTGCAGGCAAGTTGCTGGACTAATCCAAAGTTACAAGTTCATGGCCATTTTTTATGCAAAATTGAGGATAAGAAGCTGTACATCGCACGACATTGCGGGCTCAGCAAACTTTTCAGTAAAACATGGTGAGTTTTCTTCAATATATAACAGAGGTTATCCTCTCGCCGCACTGTATATTATTAGAACTTTTACAAGTATTTCAGGTATATATGTCTCGTGCGTTCGACGGGGTATTTTAAACATGTCATTGTCTCCAGTAAGCACAAACACACATGAAACGAAGATGATATATCGCGCCTGAACACTCAGCAATTTCAGCAGTGTCTACGAGCTACATTCCTTCATGTAGCGTGATCGTCGGTATATGATTGTTGTTTGCTCATAATATCGATCTTTGTGGTTACCCGCTAAACATAAAAAATTATCGCATGTAATTAATGCAAATTATATTGCATATTCCTAATGATGTAGAGCTATTAAGCGTTACTTTGATTTCTAGTTTGGGGCTCAACGCAGTACCAAAAATATCTATCATTATCGTATCACATTTGGATTGTGCGATAACAGCAACTCGTGAATGTTGATTTAAGATGCTTCGTAATCGTATCTACTATGCGCTTCTTGGCACATTACACAGGTGGCACAAGCGTTCTATCGCTTCCTGCGCTCCGCACACGAGCCATCTTTACCAGCACGTTGGACAGCACTCAGTCATGGGTTGGGCAACGTCATTTTATATAAAACGATGTTCGCGTGCGAAAGAGCTGAAAGCTGCGATGCATGTACGTCTTCATGCCATGCTCTTCTCACGAGACAAACAGATGCAGCAAGCAGAATTCCTAATAATATTCTTAAAGTGGTGCATTTTTGTTAGTGTGAAGAGCCGTCAATGCTATAATATAGATATCTACTCAAAATTAAGTAAGAAATTAAAGTCTCTTTTAGGTTTCATGCTGTCATACTATTAAATGGCTGGAAAGCAGACCAGCGTCGACGGCGTGTTGCGTACGAGCGTTGACGCTTCTAGTGCACGCCTTACGTAAGTGACAATGCAGCTTTCACTTAACATCTTACGATCGTATTAGTTTAATCTTAGCTACTACATTAATTTGCAGATCTTTACGCACGTCCACTGACACAAACATTGGCACTGCCCGGCGGCCCAAATTTATTCCAAAGGCTGCCAAGCGCCGTCCAGCATCTTCAGAGCATGAACAAGGCAGTTCCTCTGCTTCACAGCGCTCAAATCATGTCAAGCCTGAATCCAGTGGTGGTGTAGCGCTAAAGAGCAACAACAAAGGACATGGAGATCACAAAGGCAGAAGAGGTCGGGGAAATCGCGGCCGAGGTCGTGGTCGTGGTCGTGGACGTGGTTTTCTTCCTAGTGGAAAGGTTTCGTTCGTAGGAACCTTGTCAGGTGGATCTTCGTACAGCGGAGGTGGCAGCGCGCCAGCCCCACGTAATTCTCAATCCATCGACTACTCAGCTGCTGGCGGCACCGGAATCAGTGTAGTTGATCCGGAAATGCTCGGCGAAAATACTCCTGAGCTTGAGGTTGAAAATGTCTGGCCACCTGTAGTGAAGTCAATAATGGAACCTATGAGTCTGCCAATCGTGCGACCACTAGAGCCTGAGAGCGCGGGCGCTGTCTTTTACAACGCCGTTGGTGACGTGGTAGCACCGGATGACTCGCTTTTTTTTATACAAATGCCAACGACGCTGCCTCTTTCCAGTGCTATAGCGAAAACACCCAGTGTAAACACACAGGAAGATGAACCCATGGAAGACGTAGACAAGTCAATAGAACATGCTAAGAAGAGGGAGGAAATTCAGAACCCAGATCAATCATTGTATGTGCATACACAACTGGCAGCAAATGACGATTCTGACTGCTCTATTGCTCTTGATTTAGGGATGATGGTGTGTTTGACCATTCCATCGAAACGGCTCCAGGCGGTTATATTGGCAGGGTCAGATTTGACTTGAATTATATTATACTGCTGCAGGAACCGACTTAAATGTGGCTGCTTTGTGTATTTTTATTTATTGCCTTAGATATGTGTGCACAAGTCTGGCAAGATGGTGTTGATGCTCGGCGACAGACAATTTGACGTGGCAGTAGCACAGACGCCTTCTTTCTGCGAGGAAATTTACGCGGTCAACACAGCGGAAAAACATTTGAGTATCTTGGGCAACATCGAGCGCCATCTAGTAGTAACTCCTGATTTCGACGCTTTACTGCATTAGGGCGAATAGGAAGGAGCATTCCACCGAGAGAGCTGTCAGTAGTTAGCGAGTCAAATGCTCATCAATAATCGTTTCGCACACGACAAACTTGTCTAATGTAACCTGCGTATGCTATCATGCTTTAGTACTTGGACTAAACTCTATGGAACCTCGCAACGTTCATAATCGAAATGATAATAAGGTATTGAATAAAAAAACGTGTGTTCTGTTACTAATGAGAGCTAAAAAGAGTATAGCTCGCCTACCTTCGTTCTGTCGGTAAGTACAGAGAAGAAGGGCATTGCAATCAGTCGTCGTCTTCCTCATCATCATCATCTTCGTTGTCATCAACCTCCTCCTCATCTTGTTCATCGACAGCGCCTTGTGCATTGTAGTCGTCCATTTCTTGTTGATACTTGGCCTTAGCTTCTTCATTCAT